ACATGTCGGCCCCTGCCATCACAGTTTTTAAGGCTAAAGTAACCTGAACGAAATTTGCTGATCCATCGTTGACATTTACGAACGTTCAAAAAATTTCCATAAACTTCTTTGATATTCTTTGTGACTATAGAGGCGTTGTTTCCCTGCTTGTATTCAAACAGCATTACATGCCGAATGTGTGTTTTATCGTTTGTCAACACTACAAGAGATTAGAGTATACTAAACTTTACACATTATATAGGCTACACTAACGTGACGTTTAGGCGGTTCGTTTAACTATTACACGTGACGTACGTTTTTTGGGGGTTGGTTAATGAAAGTGTTCCTAAACGCGTCATTAATTTCTTGACGCCCTAATATTTTCATGGATCTTCAGATCTTGTAGTTATTATCTATGTTTTATAGATCTTGAAATTTTACTGTAATTATCTCTTTTTATGGTGTTCAGTTTGCAGTGATTATTCATTTTTTTCATGGATTTTCATATAATAAGGCTTTTAAATAAGCATACTAGAACGGAATTTGACTCATGTTTAACTTTTAAACATAAATAGTTTAAAACTATCGCTAGGGAAAAAGTTAAATAAATTATTTAGATTTTGCAAATTTACTTTGGGACCAAATTTCCATAGGAACGTGACATTCAAAGAAGAACAAATTTTCTAGGTTATTAGATCAACACTAGACACGAAAACGTTGAATGGTAATCATATACAAATATATACATAACAAGTATATGCGAATAGGTTCAAACAACTAAGACGCCAAGAAAAATGCAATCATGTCAAACATCATTATTCAGAAACTTGACACGTTTGGGGTTGCTCCAATGTTTGTAAGAATGTGATAGAAGTTTCTTACAATTGCGGCGTGTAGGCGATAGCTGGAAACAAAAATCTGAATAGTCTAAAGCTCGATCTTGAACTTGTGTTCTATCTTTACCAATGTAGAAGGAAATTCCTTGAGGGCGAAGAGTCGTCGTCGTCGTCCTACAAGACACATGTTCACGTAGGAAGAATCATATAAACGAAAACAAGAAGGCACAAAGGGAAGGACAAAGTACAACGAATACAAGAGGGCACAAAGGGAAGAACAAAGTACAACAAAAACAAGAGGGTACAAAGGGAAGGACAAAGTACAACGAAAACAAGAGGGC